GGATGGGGATGTCAAAATTCCTTTGCACAGGAATAGAGGTAGAGCCCTGCTCCTACTCAGTCTTGCTTTGCCTTGCTCACTGATCCAACGAGCATCTCAAAAGCCCGGCCACTGAAGGACTATTGCCCCAGCCCGGACAGTAGAGCATGCCCTTGTTCTCACCACCAGATCCTTCAAGGAGAACAAATCATGGCACAGCTTGACCTGCCTGTGCTCCAGGACAGCTGCTAATTTAGGTCTTCTCCCTCCACCCAACCTTTTTCATTTCTGGAAGCGGAAATTAATTCCCCCCCCAGATTTCCGCCACATTTCCAGATCTGATGAGGTTGTCACAAGTTTCAGGAGTTCCTGGGTGTGCAGCTGATGGCCAGGTGGCTGTGTGACCATTGGAGACTCTTGGCTTTCAGAAACCAGAGTGTTAAAAAAAAAAAAAAAAGAGGGTGGTCAGATTCATCATCAGGAGTAATGCAGCTGTTTATGATGCTGGTCCAGTCAGCGTGGCGAAGAGGAAATGTCCCGGGGTTTTCCACCGAAGCTGATGACAGGGACCTTGGCTGGTAAATGTGACACAGCGATGACTTCCCTGTTAACTACAACAGCTACCTGAGCCTCTCAAGTGTTTCAGTTTTTGTTTCGTTTCATCTTTAAGCCACGCAAAAAGTTGCACAATGACTCACTGGAGTGCCCAGGGATGTCCCTCCAACTCCCTTGTGCAAATGTGCAAAGGCTGGGCAGGGAAGTCCTCCTGTCAAAACCTGGTGAGACAGTGGAGTCACAAGGGATAGACCTCCCCCACCATGGACTGGGGGATTGGATCCGATCCTGGCCTTGCTGTCACCCCAAGCACAACCTCTCATTGCCGCTCACGTGTAGGCTGCTTGGGGCAAGGTCTTTCTTTTTATAATTCCAGGTCCAAAAAGGCTCAGAACCCCACCCAACCTCTTTGCCTCCAGAAGCCCTTGTAGACCAGGACATGGATGCATAGACCCAGCTGAGCTACCAGTTGTAGACTGAGTGAAGCTCCTCTGGGGCAAATTCACACCAGTAAACAGTGACAGCAAAACACAACCAGCATAAAGCAAATACTTTTCCAAGGACTCGCTCTTTGAGTTGTGTGGAGCTGCCAACCGCATCATCCTGCACGGACAGAAGGGTCCATTCACCTGATGGGCTTGCAAACGATCTGCAAGACAAAGGCCCACAGATGCCTTGGGGAGGACGGGGAACCCTAAGGATCACCTAAGTGAGACTGGGATCATGGCTCTGCACCATGATCTCAGTGGAAATCCATTTGCAAATGGTTTTCCCATGTGGAAGACCGTGATCTCAAGATGGTGGAGTTTTACCTCCTTCGCTTGCAGTACGTCAGCCATTATAGACACTATCTTTTATCAGCAGTTGACAGTTTGAGCATATTTAACGTATGATTTAGCAGCAAAAAAATCACATTGTTTGACCCTTCTTTACTGCACTCTTCAATTACTGCTTGGCAACGTCGGGGGAAAAAAGGTGCAACCATGCTGTAATTTATGGCAGTGCAGTATATCATTAGATTTAGCACTGGTTATGCTGGAGCCGCGGTCCAAAGCAAAAGCGTCGTCGACAAGAACAGACTGATTTCAGACAGCCCAGATTTCCAGAGAAATCCCTTTATGAGGAAGAGAGGAGGGACCCATGTCCCACTGTCCACTGGGAAATCAGGACTCCAGACTGTCTCGACCAGCTCATGTCTGAGACTCTTCAGTGAACGAGCTTTCAGTAAGGTGATTTCCAAGGAGGGAAGAGTGGAAACCACAGCTAAGCCGTACAGAGAGTGATGATAGGTGAGGTTCCAGGGCCACCACTGTTCTGTTGGAAGACGTCCACGGATGCCCATGGAGCTGGGGGTGCTCATGCCTGGGGAGGTACCTGTATTTAGGTGCTGTGGGCGTGGAGCAAGGACATCACGTTGCTGGCCAGGAGTGACCTGGACATCAGCATTTTCTTTTGGGAAGCAGCTGGCTGTACCCTCACCCGCGGCTCCTCCATCCAAGGGCAGGTCGGGACTGCGGTTCTGCTCCTTAATCCGTCTGTTCCTGGATCATCCAAATTTGACCAGCTCAAGAGCGGCCCCGTAACTGCATTTCTGACAAACTACCTCCAGCACTCGGGGTTTAGGTAAGCGCGCGTGTTTTAAGCCTGGCTTTGGGCCAGCTGCCAAGGGACTCCCATAAAGCGAGCACGGTACAACCAGATCAAGTCTCTGGCCGGACAGCACGACGCCGGCAGGACCGCATCGGACCAGGTTTATACCAGGTCAGCGCTTTGCTTTATGCGGCTGCAAGCTTTGCTGAGCCCTAAAGATGGATTTACAGCATCGGCAACCCCGAGCCAAGGGGAAATTCTTCCTCGCTTTAACCTTCAATCTCTATTTTAACCTTCAGACTACATCCCACCCTGCATCTACCAGCCCTAGAGCCGAACAAGCTCTGGGTGAATGGGGACATGCGTGAGCTGGTGCTCAGCATCCTTCTGTCGTGTCCTTTATTCCCCTTTTTTTTTGCATTAAAGGAGGGCTAAAATTAGCGCAGCAGGAGGTGAAGACTGGAACATTTTAGCTAAAGCTGCCGTCGTATTGAAAAGCCATAGTTTCACTAATTATTTCCCAGCTTTCTTACTGTGAACGAAGTCGTCTGGTCTTTTATTTTGATAGATGAATGCAAGTAAAGCTCCCATAAAATAAAGTGCTCCGCGAGGTGTTCCAGCTCGTTCTCCAGAAGATCACTGTAACGTTTGACCTGGAAAGCCCCGTCCAGCTGAAGGTCCAGCTAGCTCAACGTGTCTCCAGGCATGGTCGGGGTAGCCACATAGGACAAGGCACAAAAAGAGGTGCATGGAGGATATCTCCAGCCCAGCACGCCCTCGCTGCACTTTGCAATGGATACGATGGCCCACCGGCACTGTGCCCGTCATGGGGCCACCTCCACAGCCAGTCTCTTCGCTAGGTCATTTTTCATCTTTGCATTGTCATAGAACCATAGTACACGGGGCTCCCACCTTCCCCCACAGAACTCATCCAGTATCAAGCGAGACAGGGTGGGTGCATCCATCATGCCCTCCGCCTTGATGCTGACTCCCACATGAAGGACAAGAAACCCTTGAAACTCCTGGAAATCGAAACTCCTACGCAAATCTCGCAGATGATCAAACGCCATTCTGAGGCTGGTTCCTCGGCTTGGTGACACGAACCCAGCTGAAGGCACCGTCCGTTCAGAGCAAACCAAGCACTGTGTCTCTATAAATCCGCTGGACTGGGCATGTCTCCCTTGAACAGAAAGGCACAGCATTGAGCGAACCTGGTCGAGATGCTCGCAAAGCCTGATCTGACGCTATGGCCATCAACCACATCAGGGACAGCAGAGACTGGAAGTCCCATTCCTGGGGTCCAGTCACTTTGGCAAGAGGGACCATACAAGCCCATCTGGACCCTCCACTTCTCCAGATCCTTCAGTCTGCAGGACTCAGGGTGGTTTCCACGCAAGGTTCCTCTCCACGAAGGCAGGAACCAGCTGCAGGGACCTCTTCCCTGGCAGAGGGCATGTGCAAGCGGGACGTGACACAGCGAGCAGTGAACATCTGAAGGCAGGGTAAGCGGGACAAAAGGAAGAATAACCTTGATTTCCAGAGGCATGTGAGACAAAGGTCGAAAGATGGGAAAAATCCAGGCCACCTGTGCCAGAGCGGTCCCACATGGGGCTGGGGTGGGTGTCCCCACCGCCGTCCCCATGCCATACCCCCTTAGAGCAGCATCTCTCCTACCTGCCTCATCCCCACCACTGAAAAAGCCACTTGGCACAGCCTGGGATCAAGTGTACATTTTTATTTTTTAATGGAACATAAACTCCTTTAGAAAAAACATTCATCTGGATGATAACACCCATAGAAAAAAACACCAATCTCGTGTTCTTTTTTTTTTTTTTAATTTGGCATTTGTTATTTGCATTTATATTAAAGCAAAGTGCATCTTTCTTATTTTTTTTTCTCGTTTATACACATTGCACAATACATAAATAATGATGCTTATAAAACGTCTTTGTATTTACAAGTAATAATATATTTATATATAACATAAAATACATTTTTTTTCTTTAATAAATCTCAGGGTTTTTTTAAGGAGTCCTTTTCTCTGTGTGTTTTATTTCGAAAGCACTACAATGCTAAAGTTCCAATGAGAATGCTCTCTTGTTCATTTAAACCTTTATATTTAGAAAAATAGCTTATGTTAAGGTCTAAACATGCTCATTGAGCTAAGAACAGTGTAAAAGTATCATACTCGTGTATGAATTCAAGAAGAAATGAAAGCACAACTGCATTTCCAGATAGGATGGTACCGGGATAACCTGATCGAAGCCAGGCTACAACAGACCAACTATCGTGAACACTTTTTCTTTCGTTTTCCCATTTGTTTTTCATTTGTTTTGTTGGTTTGGTTTTGTTTTGGGGTTTTTTTTTCAGGCTTAAGCTTCCGTTGCTTCGTGTCTCCGCTCGAATTGTAAAGCACAGGCCAACACAGGTTTCTCTGCTGTTGTTTTCTCCCCTTGCATCAATCCATGACCGTAAAAAAAAAGAAAAAGCAGTGGAAGGATGAACACAGTGACAAGATGTGAACCCAGGAACAAGGAAAAAAAAAACGAAAATAAAAATGAAAAGGGTGGGTCAAGACCTGGTTGGGAAGGTTTTGCACCATCCCTCGGCGGCAACGTGGGGTTTAGCACCGCTGGGGAAGGGGCTCCTCGGTGTCACCGGGGACGGCTGGCAGCAAGGGGAAGGTGGTGCGTAAAAAATACAGGTATCTGGTTGTTTTTATCCAAGAGAAGGAGCTGTAACACATGGCAAGTGGCTTCTGGATCCACCGATCACACAGGATAATCCTTTCAGAGGCGTGAAAATAATTACCGCATGCGATCCATCCCCCCCACACCCTTCTCTCGCCCTTCTGAGTTATTGGTCATTCACACTTTTAAAAAATAGATCTATTTATCAAAATACCCAAGGCAAAGAAAATCTTTCCATAAGCTATTTCTCAAAACAGAGGGGAAGGAGGGGGGGGGAACAAACAAACAAAACAAAACAAAAAACAAAGTTTGCATGAAAAGCAAGCACTCAGAAGGAAAGAATAGCAGCAAAGTAGTATAAATGTCATGAGTCCACTCTGTCTCGAGTCATCGGTTATTAAAAATAACCTCCAACCAGCACGGGCAACTGCTGATAAACTGTCTCGTGTAGCACTGGCCCCAGCCTTTCACAAAGCTGATCTGAACAGTAAATCCGGTCCATGGTTGCTGCATGAACTCATGGTCGTTGGGTCTCTGCAAGCTGTACGCCTTCTCGTAGTCAAAAGCCTTGATGGAAAAACCCGGGAACACTTTGTGAACCAGCAACGTCCTGGAGTCGGGGTTGTCCAGTGTGGCCGACTTGATGAAGATGGGGTAACTGCTGCGGTTGTACACCCACACGCCGTCCACTTCCTTGGTGAGCTGGATGCCGTAGCCGATCTTGCTGCGGACCTTCTGCACCAGTTGGCTTTTGTTGTCCGAGTTGAGCTGTCCGAGGCAGAAACCATTCCCCTGAGGTAGATCATAGAAGATATCCAGGGAGGGCTCTTGGACAGAGTACAGCCGACCCACACGCGTTTTCTCTTCCCAGTATGCCACCACGCACCAGTGTGACCGATCCCCCGGCTCCTGAAGAACTTGGGAATCTACACAACAGGAGAAAAAAAAGGAGAAACTGAGCACCATGGGGGTAACAGGACCCAAGAGATGCAATGCTGGCACGTCCTTGCCTGCCCATGTCTTCACGATGCTCTCCACGCACACACACCACCACCCATAGTACATCCACCGTTTCCAAAAGCCACGTGTTAAGGCCACTACTAAGACCATTAAAGTCAACCCAGGTTTGGGGGACCCCCACGCTGCCTCATTGCCAAGCTCTGGTTGGAGTTATGGGTCCTAAGTCACCAGGTCCACCTTCAGAAGTGGCCTGAGACCCACCAGCAGCCATCCCTCACCCAAACTGTCACTAAGACCACCTGCAGTGCCAACAGGAGAGATGAGATGCTTCAGCCAGCTGCATCCAGCCAGACCAAACACCCCCAAACCTTTTATTTGCACCCACGAGACGACGGATCCATTTCCATAAATAACTATCTACATATACATAAATATCTCCATAACCATAAATAAACTATCGACTGTGCACAGACGCCGAAAAAAACATGAGGTGCTGCTAAGAAAAGCAACATTGAAGGTCACGCCACGGGACTGGAGGGGATGAGGACTCGCCTGCTCTAGTTCCCGGGGCTTTTCCCAGAGCCTGGGTGATGGAGAGGATGGAGATGGTGGATGAAGCCGAGACCCATGGGAAGGGCCATCAGATGGTGGCAGGGTTAGGACCAGAAATCACACTTGTTAACAAAAATGGCCTAAAAAACCTCAAAAAACCCCCCAGAAATTTGTTCTTGTAGCTGTTCTTTCTACTCTTGCCCATAACTATCCTGTGTGGGCAGTGAGGATACGACGTAGGAGGAAAAAGCACAGGGGGGGGCTGAGCAATGTGAAGAAGCAAAGAAGAAAAATCCCTAGCAGCCCGGCGCTGCTCACCGGGTAATTCCTCCCAGCCTCGGCAGGCATGTTAAGACCTGGGAACTATTCACCTCTATAATTGCATTTAAAAAATAATAATGTGTGTGCTCCTGGATCCAGGGGGATGATGATCCTGGATTCAGGGATTTGGGGGGAGTGGGCGGGGGGGGTGTGTGCTCCTGGATCCAGGGGGATGATGATCCTGGATTCAGGGATTTGGGGGGAGTGGGCGGGGGGGGTGTGTGCTCCTGGATCCAGGGGGATGATGATCCTGGATTCAGGGATTTGGGGGGAGTGGGCGGGGGGGGTGTGTGCTCCTGGATCCAGGGGGATGATGATCCTGGATTCAGGGATTTGGGGGGAGTGGGCGGGGGGGGTGTGTGCTCCTGGATCCAGGGGGATGATGATCCTGGATTCAGGGATTTGGGGGGAGTGGGCGGGGGGGGTGTGTGCTCCTGGATCCAGGGGGATGATGATCCTGGATTCAGGGATTTGGGGGGAGTGGGCGGGGGGGGTGTGTGCTCCTGGATCCAGGGGGATGATGATCCTGGATTCAGGGATTTGGGGGGAGTGGGCGGGGGGGGTGTGTGCTCCTGGATCCAGGGGGATGATGATCCTGGATTCAGGGATTTGGGGGGAGTGGGCGGGGGGGGTGTGTGCTCCTGGATCCAGGGGGATGATGATCCTGGATTCAGGGATTTGGGGGGAGTGGGCGGGGGGGGTGTGTGCTCCTGGATCCAGGGGGATGATGATCCTGGATTCAGGGATTTGGGGGGAGTGGGCGGGGGGGGTGTGTGCTCCTGGATCCAGGGGGATGATGATCCTGGATTCAGGGATTTGGGGGGAGTGGGCGGGGGGGGTGTGTGCTCCTGGATCCAGGGGGATGATGATCCTGGATTCAGGGATTTGGGGGGAGTGGGCGGGGGGGGTGTGTGCTCCTGGATCCAGGGGGATGATGATCCTGGATTCAGGGATTTGGGGGGAGTGGGCGGGGGGGGTGTGTGCTCCTGGATCCAGGGGGATGATGATCCTGGATTCAGGGATTTGGGGGGAGTGGGCGGGGGGGGTGTGTGCTCCTGGATCCAGGGGGATGATGATCCTGGATTCAGGGATTTGGGGGGAGTGGGCGGGGGGGGTGTGTGCTCCTGGATCCAGGGGGATGATGATCCTGGATTCAGGGATTTGGGGGGAGTGGGCGGGGGGGGTGTGTGCTCCTGGATCCAGGGGGATGATGATCCTGGATTCAGGGATTTGGGGGGAGTGGGCGGGGGGGGTGTGTGCTCCTGGATCCAGGGGTATGATGCTCTTGGATTCAGGAAATATGGGGTGGTGGCTGCTCCTGGATCCAGGGGGGATGATGCTCCTGGATCCAAGAATTTTGGGGGGGTGATGCTCCCGGATCCATCCCCATCTCAACCGCCCATCGCCCCCCTTGCCGATGCCTGCCCAGCGGTGCTCAGAGCTTCTCAGGGTTTGTTTTACAGCAGCTGAGGGAATTTTGGAGCAACAGCCATTGAGCCCTGTGGCAATTCCTATAGGTTTTTATTTACTTGAACATCAAAGTATCCCCTTCAGGAGGAGACGGGACGGGGCGGGGGGGGAGACTATTTCACCTGATATTTGTGCTTGCGTTAGCGAAGACCACTTAACAGGCAGCTCATTGCTGCTTACAAAGAGTTATTTAATTGCCAGCGCATTAAAGACCTCAAGGATAAGTCTTAGGTAATCTGGGGATGTTTTTGGTTTGTTGTTGTGTGTTTTTTTTTTTAAGGAGCCAATGCCAGCACGCAGTAGAAATACGCCAGAGCCTCTTCCGTTTGCGGGATTCGGCTGTTGACTGGACGTCTAGTCAAAAAGCCATGAGAATACACGGCTTGAGCTCGGATAAACAGGCTCGGGCCTCCCTGCCATCCGCCACCAAAGCCGCTTTTCACGGTCGGCGGGAACCCGGCGGAGCCTTCCCCGCTCCCACCCGCCTCGCCGATTCTGGCATCCGCCGGGAAAAGGGCCGGGAAGAGCCGGTGGCATCGCTCGGGTGGCGGAGGAAGGAGAGGAGGTTGCAGGAGAAGAGGAAAAAAAGAGGCAGAGATGCTTCCTACAGGGATGGAGGATTCCCTCCCTGCCCCCCAAAAGGCTTTTTTGGTGGCAATGCTCATGGGTCTGAGGAAAATGAAGCAAATAGATGGATTTTGCCCCAAAAATGCCCTGCCAGGTTCAGCCGGACCCGCCATCCAACACCCATCGCTGCCTGCTGCAAACTCAGGCAAAAACCCAGATCCCGGGAAATTCACAGCCACATCACCCCCTCAACGTGTCCTCACGGGCTACAGCCCAGCAACAGCTGAGCGACGCATTGGGATTCTTTTTTTGAGTTAAAAGCATCGGTTTTTTTATGAGCTCCTCGGAGCAAACACATCCCTTTCTAAATGCCTGGAAAACTCCCAGCAAACTGGGAGCGTTCCCATATTCCAGCAAACAATGATAATGTTGAACGCTATGAACATCCGCGCTGTTATTCCGTTATTAAGCATCCCTCCATTTGCTGCTGTCGTTGGTTTATTATTATTTTCCATTGCAGCCTGCCTAGGGGCTCTGCCAGGCTCCCCCCTGTGCATTCTGCGAGCTCATTGTGAAAAAAAAAATATATAAATAACGGAAAATAAAGCGAGTGCCCTCAGGAATTTTGAAAATTAATCGTATTGATTGGTTATAGCTGGGTCTACGGAGCACGGCCATCCGAAGCAGAGCACGTTTCTGCATGAAGAGGGGGAAATGAAGGCAATATTTGATACCCCAAAGTCTTTGGGGTAACATCTTTTGGAACTTTGGTGTGGATGGTGATGAAGATGGTGATGACGCCTGAGCACAACCACACGATTCAACATCACCTTCCCACTCAAACACTGAACTTTTTTCCCTATTTTTTACACCCTCCTGAAGGGCTGCCCTGACTTTTACCGGCACGTCCCTTGGAGAAGAAGGAGTGTCCTCCAGAAAAGCATCATCCCAGCTGCTTCCCAACACACCGACCAGCATGAGAGGCTGCAAGGTTTCCCACCACCTGCCTTGAACCTCGCAAACATCGAGTCCTGCCCAAAACTGCTCAATAATAGAAGACCGTAGCCAGGATTTCTCTAGCTTCGGGTGCGCACACGCTGCTCATGGGCTTGGGGCATCATCCTGCTCCGGGGAGGCATGCTGCAGAAAATGCCACATCCATACAGAAATCCTGGAGGATGGGACACCAGAGCAATAACCCCTCAAAACTAAAAGCTGCTGAAACCAAGGAGGTCCAGATGAAGATGGATCTGGGAGATTCACACCATGGAAACATCCAAATTTATCCGTAACGGCCCCACGCTTGGTTCTCCCAAGCTGTGGCAGGAGGACTCGCATCTTGCATCGCTTGGAAGAAGCAGAACATTTCTGGTGTGGCTTTTCTCCTTGACACATGACCGCTTTTAAGATGATGAAACCATGTCATCTGTATATTTTCTTTCCAAGCTCTGGCAGTTTTATTAGGACTTTGGGAAGAAAAAGTTCTTTTTTCGTTCAGGAAGAACTGAAACATCTCCGCAAAACTGAATTTAATAAAAAACAAAAAAACAAACAACAACAAAAACCCAACGCAGCTTCTGACCGGCTTTTGGATCTCAGCCTTGTCCCGGCGCCAAGTTCATGAACGTTGAGGGGAGGTGGGCTGGGGATCTTTTGTTTTGCTTTGTTTTGTTTTGACATAGCTAAAGGTTTTCCTGTAATCAACCGACCTCTAAAGAAAACAGCGAGTTTAGCACACACTGAGCTATCTCACCCGCCGGGACTACTCCCATCTGATCAAGTCAAGAGCTATCTAAATCGTCACCGGTATCTGCAATAATAACAACTCGTGGCTGAACATGGGAATACAACTGCGTTCCTGATTAGGATTTTAAATGCCTGTAGTTGGATCTTTCCTCGGTGATATCAGGATTAGAGGCAAATTACATTATCCAACTGTAGAAGTGTTTCCAACTATGTATTTATACTACTATATATATAGTTATAGAATTTTTTTTTAAGAGCACTTTTGACCCAAAGCATCTTCTCGTGCTCCTCCCATACTTCTCACCCTCACACCCTCTTCTCTCCCTCGTTCCTCTGTAATCCCTGGGACTGGATGTCCCACCAAACACCTACCCTGACGCAAGACTCACCATGGCATCATCTACCCGGAACCCCTAACAAAAGTCTTCTCATTTTCACAGAATCACAGA